AGTATTTCTCGCAGAAGCACCCCTTCGTGATGCACTCACTCACCCGCAGTATTTCTCGCAGAAGCACCCCTTCGTGATGCACTCACTCCCCCGCAGTATTTCTCGCAGAAGCACCCCTTCGTGATGCACTCACTCACCCGCAGTATTTCTCGCAGAAGCACCCCTTCGTGATGCACTCACTCACCCGCAGTATTTCTCGCAGAAGCACCCCTTCGTGATGCACTCACTCACCCGCAGTATTTCTCGCAGAAGCACCCCTTCGTGATGCACTCACTCACCCGCAGTATTTCTCGCAGAAGCACCCCTTCGTGATGCACTCACTCACCCGCAGTATTTCTCGCAGAAGCACCCCTTCGTGATGCACTCACTCACCCGCAGTATTTCTCGCAGAAGCACCCCTTCGTGATGCACTCACTCACCCGCAGTATTTCGCGCAGAAGCACCCCTTCGTGATGCATTCACTCACCCGCAGTATTTCTCGCAGAAGCACCCCTTCGTGATGCACTCACTCACCCGCAGTATTTCTTGCAGAAGCACCCCTTCGTGATGCACTCACTCACCCGCAGTATTTCTTGCAGAAGCACCCCTTCGTGATGCACTCACTCACCCGCAGTATTTCTCGCAGAAGCACCCCTTCGTGATGCACTCACTCACCCGCAGTATTTCTTGCAGAAGCACCCCTTCGTGATGCACTCACTCACCCGCAGTATTTCTCGCAGAAGCACCCCTTCGTGATGCACTCACTCACCCGCAGTATTTCTCGCAGAAGCACCCCTTCGTGATGCACTCACTCCCCCGCAGTATTTCTCGCAGAAGCACCCCTTCGTGATGCACTCACTCACCCGCAGTATTTCTCGCAGAAGCACCCCTTCGTGATGCACTCACTCACCCGCAGTATTTCTCGCAGAAGCACCCCTTCGTGATGCACTCACTCACCCGCAGTATTTCTCGCAGAAGCACCCCTTCGTGATGCACTCACTCACCCGCAGTATTTCTCGCAGAAGCACCCCTTCGTGATGCACTCACTCACCCGCAGTATTTCTTGCAAAAGCACCCCTTCGTGATGCACTCACTCACCCGCAGTATTTCTCGCAGAAGCACCCCTTCGTGATGCACTCACTCACCCGCAGTATTTCTCGCAGAAGCACCCCTTCGTGATGCACTCACTCACCCGCAGTATTTCTCGCAGAAGCACCCCTTCGTGATGCACTCACTCACCCGCAGTATTTCTTGCAGAAGCACCCCTTCGTGATGCACTCACTCACCCGCAGTATTTCTTGCAGAAGCACCCCTTCGTGATGCACTCACTCACCCGCAGTATTTCTCGCAGAAGCACCCCTTCGTGATGCACTCACTCACCCGCAGTATTTCTTGCAGAAGCACCCCTTGGTGATGCACTCACTCACCCGCTGTATTTCTCGCAGAAGCACCCCTTCGTGATGCACTCACTCACCCGCAGTATTTCTCGCAGAAGCACCCCTTCGTGATGCACTCACTCACCCGCAGTATTTCTCGCAGAAGCACCCCTTCGTGATGCACTCACTCACCCGCAGTATTTCTCGCAGAAGCACCCCTTCGTGATGCACTCACTCACCCGCAGTATTTCTCGCAGAAGCACCCCTTCGTGATGCACTCACTCACCCGCAGTATTTCTCGCAGAAGCACCCCTTCGTGATGCACTCACTCACCCGCAGTATTTCTCGCAGAAGCACCCCTTCGTGATGCACTCACTCCCCCGCAGTATTTCTCGCAGAAGCACCCCTTCGTGATGCACTCACTCACCCGCAGTATTTCTCGCAGAAGCACCCCTTCGTGATGCACTCACTCACCCGCAGTATTTCTCGCAGAAGCACCCCTTCGTGATGCACTCACTCACCCGCAGTATTTCTCGCAGAAGCACCCCTTCGTGATGCACTCACTCACCCGCAGTATTTCTCGCAGAAGCACCCCTTCGTGATGCACTCACTCACCCGCAGTATTTCTCGCAGAAGCACCCCTTCGTGATGCACTCACTCACCCGCAGTATTTCTCGCAGAAGCACCCCTTCGTGATGCACTCACTCACCCGCAGTATTTCTCGCAGAAGCACCCCTTCGTGATGCACTCACTCACCCGCAGTATTTCTCGCAGAAGCACCCCTTCGTGATGCACTCACTCACCCGCAGTATTTCTTGCAGAAGCACCCCTTCGTGATGCACTCACTCACCCGCAGTATTTCTTGCAGAAGCACCCCTTCGTGATGCACTCACTCACCCGCAGTATTTCTCGCAGAAGCACCCCTTCGTGATGCACTCACTCACCCGCAGTATTTCTTGCAGAAGCACCCCTTCGTGATGCACTCACTCACCCGCAGTATTTCTCGCAGAAGCACCCCTTCGTGATGCACTCACTCACCCGCAGTATTTCTCGCAGAAGCACCCCTTCGTGATGCACTCACTCACCCGCAGTATTTCTCGCAGAAGCACCCCTTCGTGATGCACTCACTCACCCGCAGTATTTCTCGCAGAAGCACCCCTTCGTGATGCACTCACTCACCCGCAGTATTTCTCGCAGAAGCACCCCTTCGTGATGCACTCACTCACCCGCAGTATTTCTCGCAGAAGCACCCCTTCGTGATGCACTCACTCACCCGCAGTATTTCTCGCAGAAGCACCCCTTCGTGATGCACTCACTCACCCGCAGTATTTCTCGCAGAAGCACCCCTTCGTGATGCACTCACTCACCCGCAGTATTTCTCGCAGAAGCACCCCTTCGTGATGCACTCACTCACCCGCAGTATTTCTCGCAGAAGCACCCCTTCGTGATGCACTCACTCACCCGCAGTATTTCTCGCAGAAGCACCCCTTCGTGATGCACTCACTCACCCGCAGTATTTTTCGCAGAAGCACCCCTTCGTGATGCACTCACTCACCCGCAGTATTTCTTGCAAAAGCACCCCTTCGTGATGCACTCACTCACCCGCAGTATTTCTCGCAGAAGCACCCCTTCGTGATGCACTCACTCACCCGCAGTATTTCTCGCAGAAGCACCCCTTCGTGATGCACTCACTCACCCGCAGTATTTCTCGCAGAAGCACCCCTTCGTGATGCACTCACTCACCCGCAGTATTTCTCGCAGAAGCACCCCTTCGTGATGCACTCACTCACCCGCAGTATTTCTCGCAGAAGCACCCCTTCGTGATGCACTCACTCACCCGCAGTATTTCTTGCAGAAGCACCCCTTCGTGATGCACTCACTCACCCGCAGTATTTCTCGCAGAAGCACCCCTTCGTGATGCACTCACTCACCCGCAGTATTTCTCGCAGAAGCACCCCTTCGTGATGCACTCACTCACCCGCAGTATTTCTCGCAGAAGCACCCCTTCGTGATGCACTCACTCACCCGCAGTATTTCTCGCAGAAGCACCCCTTCGTAATGCACTCACACACCCGCAGTATTTCTTGCAGAAGCACCCCTTCGTGATGCACTCACTCACCCGCAGTATTTCTCGCAGAAGCACCCCTTCGTGATGCACTCACTCACCCGCAGTATTTCTCGCAGAAGCACCCCTTCGTGATGCACTCACTCACCCGCAGTATTTCTCGCAGAAGCACCCCTTCGTGATGCACTCACTCACCCGCAGTATTTCTCGCAGAAGCACCCCTTCGTGATGCACTCACTCACCCGCAGTATTTCTCGCAGAAGCACCCCTTCGTGATGCACTCACTCACCCGCAGTATTTCTCGCAGAAGCACCCCTTCGTGATGCACTCACTCACCCGCAGTATTTCTCGCAGAAGCACCCCTTCGTGATGCACTCACTCCCCCGCAGTATTTCTTGCAGAAGCACCCCTTCGTGATGCACTCACTCACCCGCAGTATTTCTCGCAGAAGCACCCCTTCGTGATGCACTCACTCACCCGCAGTATTTCTCGCAGAAGCACCCCTTCGTGATGCACTCACTCACCCGCAGTATTTCTCGCAGAAGCACCCCTTCGTGATGCACTCACTCACCCGCAGTATTTCTCGCAGAAGCACCCCTTCGTGATGCACTCACTCACCCGCAGTGTTTCTCGCAGAAGCACCCCTTCGTGATGCACTCACTCACCCGCAGTATTTCTCGCAGAAGCACCCCTTCGTGATGCACTCACTCACCCGCAGTATTTCTCGCAGAAGCACCCCTTCGTGATGCACTCACTCACCCGCAGTATTTCTCGCAGAAGCACCCCTTCGTGATGCACTCACTCACCCGCAGTATTTCTTGCAGAAGCACCCCTTCGTGATGCACTCACTCACCCGCAGTATTTCTTGCAGAAGCACCCCTTCGTGATGCACTCACTCACCCGCAGTATTTCTCGCAGAAGCACCCCTTCGTGATGCACTCACTCACCCGCAGTATTTCTTGCAGAAGCACCCCTTCGTGATGCACTCACTCACCCGCAGTATTTCTCGCAGAAGCACCCCTTCGTGATGCACTCACTCACCCGCAGTATTTCTCGCAGAAGCACCCCTTCGTGATGCACTCACTCACCCGCAGTATTTCTCGCAGAAGCACCCCTTCGTGATGCACTCACTCACCCGCAGTATTTCTCGCAGAAGCACCCCTTCGTGATGCACTCACTCACCCGCAGTATTTCTCGCAGAAGCACCCCTTCGTGATGCACTCACTCACCCGCAGTATTTCTTGCAGAAGCACCCCTTCGTGATGCACTCACTCACCCGCAGTATTTCTCGCAGAAGCACCCCTTCGTGATGCACTCACTCACCCGCAGTATTTCTCGCAGAAGCACCCCTTCGTGATGCACTCACTCACCCGCAGTATTTCTCGCAGAAGCACCCCTTCGTGATGCACTCACTCACCCGCAGTATTTCTCGCAGAAGCACCCCTTCGTAATGCACTCACTCACCCGCAGTATTTCTCGCAGAAGCACCCCTTCGTGATGCACTCACTTCCCAGCATTCACATCACAGGTGACGTTCTACGACGCCTCAACGCAAGAAAAAACCAGCAAGTCCCACGCACCCGCAGTATTTCTCGCAGAAGCAACCCCTCATGATGCATTCACAGGTGGCCTTAGCGCATGGACCCTTGCAGCTGCACGGCTCGTACTGACGCTGAGGGGAAGAAAGAGAGGGACAGAGGGAACAGGGAGCAGAGGGGGCAGGGAGGGGAGAAGGGGTGAGGCGAGAGATAGGTGGGTGCATTCACAGGTGGCCTTGGGGCATGGGCCCTTGCAGCTGCATGGCTCGTACTGACGCTGAGGGGGAGAAAGAGAGGGGTAGAGCAGAGGGAACAGGGAGCAGAGGGGGCAGGGGGGGGAGAAGGGGTGAGGCGAGAGATGGGCTGGGTGCATTCACAGGTGGCCTTGGCGCATAGACCCTTGCAGCTGCATGGCTCGTACTGACACTGTGCTTGCACCTGCCTCCTCCTCGCATTGGCCCTCTCCCCCCTTTCCATGCCTGCCCCTTCCTGCATCCTTACCTCCTTAGACGCCTCGGCTTTCAGCCTCTGCACCACAACAGTCGCTGCTCCCTTTCGGCGCCCCTTGTTGTAGCCCCACTGCGCCTGCACCAGCCTCCTTCTCGCCTTGGCGGTACCAGTGCCCAGTCCCTCCTTACCTGTCCTCAACAACACCACTGCAAAGAACAGCAAACACCTGTCCTATACGTACCTCTTTCGAAGCTTCAGCTTTAAGCCTCTGCACCACCACGGGCTGCCCCGCGCCTCCCTTCCGGCGCCCCTTGTTGTATCCCCACTGTGCCTGCACCAGCCGCCTTCATACGATGCACCTGCCTCCTGCATCCTTACCTCCTTGGATGCTTCAGCTTTCAGTCTCTGCACCACAACAGGTTGCCCCGCCCCTCCCTTCCGGCGCCCCTTGTTGTATCCCCACTGTGCCTGCACCAGCCTCCTTCTCGCCTTGGGCGTGCGCCGGCGATGGCGACCCATCTGTGTGTAAATGGGGAAGGTGGGTGTGGGGGGGAGGATGTGTGGGGTGGGCCACTGTGCCTGCACTGCACCAGCCGCCTTCTCGCCTTGGACGTGCGCCGGCGATGGCGACCCATCTGAAATGCATGGGACAGGGGAGGGGGAGTGGGTGTGGGGGAAGGGTGGCATGAGATGGAAGGAGGAAATGTAGACATGCTTCCACGCCTCTGCTCTGCGCCTGCACCAGCCTCCTCCTCGCCCTGGCAGCGCGGCAGCAATGCCGACCCATCTGGAGTGTGCGAGGAAGAGGAAGGAGGGGTGGGGATAAGGAGACGTGGGGGGGAGGAAGGCTGCCAGGCTGGCTGTGAGGCGAATGATTTCTCAACTCACAGCTGCCAGGTGTGAGTCGTCCTAACAAGAGGGAGACAGATTTGGCATGAGGGTAGGTAGGTAGATAGGTAGGTGGCTCAGTGGGAAGGTAGGTAGTACCGGCGTGGGTGTTTCTTCATGCATATCGCCCCCTTCCTGCCCCAGCAAGCAGTGCGCGATCTGGGAGCATGTCTTGAAGTGAGCCACCACTGTGCGCACCAGCACTGTGCGCACCACCACTGTGCGCACCACCACTGTGCGCACCAGCACTGTGCGCACCAGCACACAGCTTTGGCAGGTAGGCACGTACCTAGGTAGGAAGGTGAACACTACCGGCGTGGGTGTTTCTTCATGCATGTCGCCCCCCTCCTGCCCCAACAAGCAGAGCGCGATCTGGGAGCATGTCTTGAGGTGAGCCAGCACCGTTCGCGCCAGCACACCACACAGCTGCCAGGCTGTCAGGCTGTGTGTTCTTAAGTCGTCTCAAAACTCAGGGCTGAGCCAGCACACAGCTACCAGGCAGACAGCTAGGAATGTAAACACTACCGGAGTGGGTGTTTCTTCATGCATGTCGCCCCCCTCCTGCCCCAACAAGCAGAGCGCGATCTGGGAGCACGTCTTGAGGTGAGCCAGCACTGTGCGCGCCAGCACACAGCTGCTTGCACCGAATATCTGCACACCCTTGACCAGCAATTCCCTCTCCAACGCACTCCACTCCTGCTGATCGCACTGCTGCTCCTTCTCCTGCTCCTCCTGCTGCTCCCGCTGCTCCTGCTGCTGCTGCTGCTGCTGCTGCTGCTGCTGCTGCTGCTGCTGCTGCTTCTCCTTGCTTCTCCCGTCCTTTCCTTGCGTCCCTTCCATCCCTTCCCTCCCTTCCTCCTCTTCCATCACTTCTCTTCCCTCCTTCATATCCTCCCCTTCTTCCAGATTTCTCACCCCCTCTTTGCCTTCTATTGCCTTTTTCTCCTCTCCGTTTTCCTGCTCACAACCCCTATCCCCATCCCCTTCCACATCAGCAGTCATCCTTACATCACCTCCTTCCGCCTCATCCCCCTTACAAGCCTCCCCATCACTCGCATCACCCTCCTCTTCCGAGCTGATCTCCAAAACCGAGGGGCTACCTTCTCTCTCCCGCTTTCCCTTCTCACCCTCCTCCTTTTCCCCCTTCCCTCTCCCCCTCTCACCCTCCTCCTTTTCCCCCTTTCCTCTCCTCCTCTCACCTCCTTCTCCCTCACGCCATCTCACTCCTCTTCCCCTTCCACTTCCTCCTCTCCCCGCCCTCCCACGTCCACGGCTCGTTCCTCTTCCTCCGCTCCCCTTCTTACCACCCCTCCCCACGCCCTGGCTACTTCCCTCCCCAGCTCCTTCCCATGTGTATAACCTTCCTTCCTTTCCCTCCTCTTGTTCCTCCTCTTCCTCCTCACCCATCTCCTCTTCCTTCACGCTCTTTCCCTCCTTGCATCCCTCCTTCTCCACCTCTTCAACCTCCTCCTCCATTGTCTCCTCTTCTTCTTCCGCATTCTCCTCCCCTCCCTCCTCCTCCTCCTCCTCCTCCTCCTCCTCCTCCTCCTCCTCCTCCTCCTCCTCCTCACTCTCCTCCCCAGCAACATTGTCCGATAATTCAACCTCCTCCTCCTCCTCTTCCTCCAATTCCTCTGCTTCCTCCTCCTCATCCTCCAGTTTCACCAAACCAACAATCTGCTTCCCCTTTTTCTTGCCTTTTGCCTTGGTTTTTGCTGCTTTCTCCTCTGCTGCTTGCATTCGAGTAAGCTTCAGTGCCACAAGAGCACGAACCTGCAACACGGCCAAAGCCAAAGCCAAGGCCAGGGCCAAGGGTAAAAGCGGAGAGGGGGAAACAGGCTGAGTTCACCCCTTTCCCAATTCTACTGCTTGCCTTTTCCCTTGGTTTTCGCTGCTTTCTCCTCTACTGCTTGAATTCAAGCCAGTTTTGGTGCCAAACGGGCAGGCTCCAGCAATTAACCTATCTATACTATACTTTCTGCTTTTCAATGAAAAAAAGAAAGAAAGAAAGAAAGACAGAAGAAAGAAAGAAAGAACGAAAGAAAGAAAAAAAAATCGTACACGGCAGTTACACGCAAGCTGCCTGCCCAGGAAAACTGAGGGTCGGGAACTTACATTCATGAAGCACAAGGGGCCGCAAGGCCCAGCAGGCATGGGTGACTTGCCAACGTCAGTAGATTCCACAGGGGGTTGCTGATCCGACTGCAACGGGGGGGAGCGGGAAAGAGGGGAAAGAGGGGTGGGTGGGGGGTGGGGGGGGAGAAGAAACGCAGAGGGCGCAACAGAATGAATGTTTCAAGACACATGGCGTGGCGTGAGAACAGCCTGGCCTGTTGTCGACCCTAAAGCAGGTAGTTAGCAGGCGGTGAGGAGAGGAAGATGAAAACAACGCAGTGGCATCAGCAGAGAGATTGATTCGCAAGCAACACCACTTTTTTTTTTCAGTTTTTTATTTCCTTCTTTTTGGCTAACCACAAAAATTGAATTTGAATTGACTCACAGGCACCACAGGCTCGTCAACAGTTCCATGTGCCTTGCAATCTTTTTTCGAGTTGACTGACTCATACTCTGACTTGGAAGTCATCTTAAATCAAGTCCGATGAGATTCAACTCACAGGCACCACCGGCTCGTCGCCAGTTTCGTGTGTCTTGCAACCCTTTCCTTGCGTCGACCAACATTTGACTCAAAAGTCAACTCATAAGCTGACTCAAAAGTCAACTCAAGTCGACCCAAAATCAACTCACAGGCACCACTGGCTCGTCGACGGTTCCATGTGTCTTGCAATCAAAGATCTGCATGACAAGGAGGAGGGAAGTACGGGGGTGGGGGAGTTAGAAGGGCAGGGGGGGGGGGGGGGGGGGGAATTCATTTGAACTCACAGGCACCACAGGCTCATCGACGGTTGTGTGTGTCTTGCAATCAAATATCTGCCCGAGAAAGGTGGAAGAAATCGAAAGGGGAGAGAGGAGGGGGAGGGGGGTGAGGGGGGAGGGCGGAGTTTAGGCTGATTCAAAATGCCACTTTCACTTCATGCGCCCTGTCACCAAATATTGGAGCGAGAAAGAGACGGGGAGGAAAAGGGAAGGTAAGAGGGCTCGTTTGTATTGGATGAATGATGGGATAGGGCATGCATGCACTGGATAGAAAAAAGAAGCCACGTGTGTAGAGGTTATTTTTGAGACGTCTCAAAAATGATGGGATAGGGCATGGCATGCATGCACTGGATAGAAAAAAGAACCGCTCCACTCGCTTACTCACTCCATCACTTGCTCCCTCCTTCACTCACTCCCTCGCTCACTCACTCACTCTCACAGACTCACGAGGCATTTGCGGCAGAAGAGGTGGTCCCACAAGTCCATGGCTCCCTCCAGGTCCTCAAACTGCGCCAGGAGCACCTGCCTCATGCTCTCATACACTCCCTCACTCACTCTCTCCCTCACTCACTCCCTCAATCACTCCCTCCCTCCCTCCCTCACTCTCACAGACTCACGAGGCATCTGCGGCAGAAGAGGTGGTCCCACGAGTCCATGGCTCCCTCCAGGTCCTCAAACTGCCCCAGGAGCACCCGCCGTGTGCTCTCACTCACTCTCTCCCTCACTCACTCACTCACTCACTCCCTCCCTCCCTCCCTCACTCACAATCTCTCACTTACGAGGCATCTGCGACAGAAGAGGTGGTCCCACGAGTCCATGGCTCCCTCCAGATCCTCAAACTGCCCCAGGAGCACCTGCCTCGTTTCCTCACACACACCACCCGAGCCTGACCCACTCGGTTCACTTGGACTAGCAGCAGCAGCAGCAGAATCAGCAGCAGCAGCGGCAGCACTGGCAGGGATGACAGTAGCAATTGGACCAGCAGTTTCAGCAGGAGGAGGAGCACCAGTGGCAGAGGCGTTGGGACAAGCCATGCTTGCGTCTTGGCCTATGACAGCAGCGGCACCAGCATCACTGGCAGCACCAGCAGTAGCACCAGCATCACTGGCAGCACCAGCAGTAGCAGCAGCACAGGTAGCAGGCACAACACTTGCAGTACCAACGTTCTCTGAAGCAGCAGCTACAGCAGAATCAGAAGTACCACAAGCTGAAGTATTATTAGCAGCAGCAAACAATGTAGCCACGCCTGCTGCTCCTGCTGATGCTGCAGCTGCTTCGGCTGGTTCATCTGTGCCTGCAGCTGCAATCGACAGCCTTTTAACTGCTGCCAGCAAAACTGGCCTTCCTACAGCATCCGGAGTTGATCCCTCATCCCCATCTACTTGCATAGGACAAGCACCCTTTTCCCCGTCCACTTGCATTCGACTCGATCCCTCTCTTCCTTCCACTGACATAGGATCATCGCTCTGCTGCTCCTCTCCTCTTGGACGCGCCTCCCCAGCAGTTGACTCCTGCTGCTGTGTGCCCTGCTGCTGTGTGCCCTGCTGCTGTGTGCCCTGCTGCTGTGTGCCCTGCTGCTGTGTGCCCTGTTGCTGTGACAACCGTTGCTGCACGGACAACTGTTGCTGTTGTGTCGCTTGCTGCTGTCGCATAGACTGCTGCCGTTCTGGAGCCTCTCTCTGCTGCTCCTGCTCCTGCTCCTGCCGTAGCGCATCACTGTGTATGTGTCCCTGCTGCCACCAGCAGGCGGCATGAGGCGGCGTTGCAAGAGGGAACTGCACGGTCTCGAGACTCCTCCAAATCACCTCCATGCCCATGCTGCCACGCTCACAATCAAGTGCTGCTCCTGCTGCTGCTGCTCCTGCTCCTGCTCCTGCTCCTGCTGCTGCTCCTGCTCCTGCTGCTGCTCCTGCTGCTGCTCCTGCTCCTGCCATTTCTGCTGCTCCTGTTCCTGTCGCTGCTGACACTTCTCCTGCTGCTGCATCCGCAGCTGCTGCTTCTGCCACAGCTGCCCCTCCTGCACCTGTTCCTGCATCTGCTGCTCCCACTTGTGCCTCCGCTGCTCGAGCTTCTGCTGCGCGTGCCTCTGCTGATTGAACTCCTGCTGTTGTTGCTCCTCCTGCTGCCGATGCACCTGGTGCCCCTCGTAGTGCTGCCCCTCCTGCACCTGTTCCTGCATCTGCTGCTCCCACTTGTGCCTCCGCTGCTCGAGCTTCTGCTGCGCGTGCCTCTGCTATTTGAACTCCTGCTGTTGTTGCCCCTGCTGTTGCCCGTCCTGCTGCCGATTCACCTGGTGCCCCTCGTGGTTCTGCCGCCTCCTGCACCCTTTCGCGCTCACTTTCTCTTTTCTCCTCCTCAGAAACCCCATCCTTCTTCTTCTCCTTCTCTAGAAACCCCTGGATCTCCTGGTACTGTGCCTTCAGCTCCGTGTGACGCATCTGGATGGGGGGAGCAGGACATTGTCTTGACTGCTTTTTCTAGAAACGCCTGGATCTCCTGGTACTGTGCCTTCAGCTCCGTGTGACGCATCTGGGTAGGGTCGCAGCAGGGACGGCATGGAAAGGGGAGAAGAAAAAGGAGGGATGGGGGGAGCAGGACATTGCCTTGACTGCTTTTTCTAGAAACGCCTGGATCTCCTGGTACTGCGCCTTCAGCTCCGTGTGATGCATCTCTGGGGTAGTAGGGAGGGCATGGAAGGGGAGGGGAAGAAGGAAGGAGGGCATGAAGGGGGGATGGGTTCAGCAAGACATTGTCTTGACTGTAACGCAGATGTCTGCTTCTTCTCAAGAAATGCCTGAATCTCTCTCGCTCTCTCCCAGGCCGAGACTGACACCCACTCGGCCTGGGAGAGAGCGAAATTTAATAATAATAATAATAATAATAATCATAATAATAATAATAATAATAGTAAATATAATCATGATAAAATAATAATAATAATAGTAATAATAATAATAATAATAATAATAAACGAGCAGGAAACTTACATGAACCTGCTCTGCCTGAGCATTCAGGGACGAGGCGAGGTGCTCAATTACAATTCCAGAATCGCCGTGCTGCTGGATGGTCCTCCTGCAGGAAGCAGGAGCGGGAAGGGATTGGGTGCGGTGGAGTGGGTTGGAATAAGGTGGAGTGAGATTTGAAGGACGAAGCAAGACGCTCAAGGAACAGACGGCCAGACACAGCAGAGGGACGGGGATTTGGGTGCGGTGGAGTGTGGTTGTGTGAGGTGCACTCACCATATGAGTGCATCCTGCACGGCACTGAAGTCCTTGAGTTGGCTGCTGCTGGGCTGGCCCTCATCCTCCGACTCGCTGCACACAGTCGTCTCCTCCTTCTCCGCATCATAGTATAGGCGCCTCCTGCCCACCAGCGACTGCTCGTCTGGGATCTGCTCGTTCCTGTGGTGTGAGGTGGGGTGGGGTGGGGTGGGGGCGTGAAAGGCGAGGCATGGATGGCTGCTGGGCTGGCCCTCGTCCTCTGACTGACTCGCTGCACACCGTCGTCTCCGAAGCCATGTGTGATAAAGTCGATCTTTGAGTAGACTCAAAAATCGACTTATCACACATGGCTGTTTCTGGGCTGGCCCTCATCCTCTGACTCGCTGCACACAGTCGTCTCCTCCTTCTCTGCGTCGTAGTATAGGAGCCTCCTCCCCACTAGTGATTGCTCGTCTGGGATCTGCTCGCTCCTGTGCCATGTGTGTGTGAACACCAGGAGTGGAACAAGTGAACAACGCATGAACACTCCGACTCGCAGCGCACCGGCATCTCCTCCTTCTCCGCATCGTAGCACAGCATCCTCCCATCAGTGATTGCTCGTCTGGAATCTGCTCGTTCCTGTAGTGTGGTCCGCGCTTGGGACGTAGTGTCTGGTGAAGCTCGGAACGTTCTGCAGCAGCAACATGATATGATAGGATTGTGCCAATCAGCAACAGCCATATCAGCTCAGCCCCCACCAGCCCACACTGTCACCTCCATTCTCTCAGAACTCACTTGGCGAGGAAGATCCAGGTGGTGAAGCTAGGGACGTTCTGCATGGCTGCCAAAATAGGATCATGACCAACCAGGCCAATCAGCAGCAGCCCTCTCACTCTAGACTCAACTCACTTGGCAAGGAAGATCCAGGAATAGTGGAATTTTGAGTCGGATTTCTTGAAACTCCTTGTTTTTAGCAGGAATTACAACAGATCGTACGGTTAATCCTCTGCTAAATAATTATTTTAGACTGCTGCTCGCCTAATCATATGGCTGAAGATCCAGGTGGTGAAGCTAGGGACGTTCTGCATGGATGCCATCTTGATGGGATTGTTGCGAGGGGCTGCCACCATCTCAGCAGCACCCCTCTGAACCGTAACCAGCCCACCACAACACCTCCTTTCTCCCGAGACTCACTTGGCGAGGAAGATCCAGGTGGTGAAGCTAGGGACGTTCTGCACTGCTGCCATCTTGATGGGATTGGTGCGAGGAGCTGCCACCATCTCACCACCACCACCACCACCCTTCCCTCCTGCAACCCCTCCCGTGATCCCCCCTCCACTCCCCACTCCACTCCCCCCTGCATTCCCCCCTGCCCCTGCTCCTGCTCCTGCTGCTACCGCGCCCCATGCTCTTTCTCCCCCTGCTCGTTCCCCTGTCATTCCATTCGCTTTCAGTACTGTTGAGATTGCACCCCAGCCTCCCGCTTCCGGACCTGCCATGCCCGAACCAGCAACTCCCAGGACTGCCAGACCTGAACCTGCCATCCCCGAACCTGCTCCCGAGCCTGCGCGTCTAGCTGAACTCGAGGCAGATTCTCCGTTTACCTGCTGCTGACAATGATCGTGCTGACTTGGCCAGGGAACACCCCCAGCAGCAGCACTAGCAGCAGCCATGTGTTTCGCTTTGATAGCCAGCAGTTTTTTCCAATTCTCTGCCAGAACATCCTGGGAAAAGGGAAGAGACGAATGGCTTGGGTAGATTGGCAGAAACAAAGTCGTAAGTGCAAGAGGTTGTGGATACGCCTTCCCAGCAGCAGCAGCAGCAGCAGCAGCAGCAGCAGCAGCAGCAGCAGCAGCAGCAGCAGCAGCAGCAGCAGCAGCACCAGCACCAGCACCAGCAGCACCAGCACCAGCAGCAGCAGCAGTAGCAGCACCAGCAGCAGCAGCAGCAGCAGCAGCAGCAGCAACACCGACAAGACTGTGATTAGAGCTACAGAACATGGACAGCTACAGTCTACACGCACTTGAACGACAGCTGTCCGCTGGCGCTGGCTCTCCGCCTTGATCGCCGCGATTCCCCGCCGGATCTCCGCGTTCCGCACCGCCGCGGACACCCCATCTGCGGGAGCAGCGGGCGCAGCTGATACCACCATCATAGCTTCCCCCATCTCCGCATCTTGCGTCGGCACTTGCGCTGCAGACCCGTCCGCGTGTGGAGGTCCACGTGGTGCAGCAGCTAGGAGGTCTAGGTCCAGGCGTCGAGCGGTGGGCGGCGGCGGGTCCGCCATTGTAGTAACGAGGTGACTTTTGAGTCTGACTCAAAAGTCACCGTGTGGTGTAGCAGCTAGGAGGTCTCGGTCCAGGCGTCGAGCGGTGGGCGGCGGTCCGCCATGGCCGCAGCCGCTACAGATTAGGAGGGGTTGTGTTCCAGTTTTGAGTCGCCGCGTGTTCCGGGAACTAGGAGGGTTTCAACGCGTACCGGTTTCAGGAGAAGCCCAACAGCTCTACACCCTACCCAACCGAAACCGCTACTCCAGTTGTGGTTTTCGCCATTGTTCTGTGTTTGCACTGCCGTGCTGTGCGTCCAAGGCCGCAGAACGATTCTTTGACATGTCTGGAACACACCGACAATGGTTTGCCTGAACATCATGCATTAATCTGAAAACTACAGTGACTCAAATGAGCCAGACTATATTTGTACTACTTCGATCATGAGGGCTGAGGAAAGGATGATACGGTAAAAAACGATAGACACTAAGAGAAGCTCAACACAGAATATACACGCATTGCAGAAAGTTTCCTTCTTTTTAAGCAAAGCAGACACTAGTGTAGTATGCATGATGATGGCTCCTTCATTTCAAGACCTGCCTCTCTTTTCTCCTGCTCTTGCTCCTGCTAATCCTGCATCTAATTCTGCTCCTGCTGCTTCTACGCCTGCTGCTGCGCCCAAGCCTGAGCCTCCTTCCTCCCCTCCTGCTACTGCGCTGCCTACTGCTCTGCTCACTCATTACTCTGGCCACTCAAACCTATGACTACCTCTCTTGCTTCTCCTCCTGCTCCTGCTCCTTCTCCCCCTGCTGCTGACCCTGTGCCTGGCCCTCCTTCCTCCCCTTCTGCTGCTTCTCTGCCTTGCACGTCGCTAAAGCACCCTTCATTCTCCAAAGGTCCAGCTGAAAGGCACCCACTATCATGCTTCTCGTGAGCCGGGGCGGTGTGTAGAGATGCCCCCTGCTGCCCCGCTACTCACTCCGACCATCCAAAGTTCTGACTACCGCTCTTTCTTCTCCTCCTGCTCCTGATCATTCTCCTTCCCCCCCTGCTGCTGCCCCTGTGCCTGGTCTTCCTTCCTCCCCTTCTGCTGCTTCTCTGCCTTGCACGTCGCTAAAGCACCCTTCATTCTCCAGAGGTCCAGCTGAAAGGCACCCACGATCATGCTTCTCGTGAGCCGCGGCGGTGTGTAGAGCCCAGGCGCCAGGGAAGACGGGGAAAAGAAAGGCGTCGCTCGGGGGATGAACCTGTTGCTGCTGGTACTGGAGGCGGTGGTGAGCGGTGGAAGGCGGTTGACTTCGGTGCCGTTGTGGAATAGTATGAGGGTGGGGAGCTGAGAGGAGAACACTGAACGGGGTGAGAGGGAGGGAGGGAAGGCGGGAGGGAGGAAGGGAGAGAGGAAGAACCTGGGTTTCCATCCAGGATACCACGAAACCACTGCTCTGAGATTGCAAGTGTGTCCGTGATGTTTAAGAGCCTATTTCTGAGTACACAGAAAGACAAGCGAGCTGTCCCACAAGATCAATCCAAATCAAGGCCCAAAATAAATTCTACAAGTCATCCATCATGGGGACTCGATGCGAGTTTTAAGGTGGTACCCAAATTCTCCAGAAATATACGGATCATCAATGTTGGGGACTCCATGCGAAATGATATGTACAACAGAAGATATGTGCTGCCTGTATCGATGGGGAAGTGTGCACGGAGAATCAATGGAGAATCTTACAGACCTGTCAGAGGGGTACACAAGAGAAGCACTCACTGGTAGTATCAACAGAGCCTATTTTTGAGTCGACTAAAAAAAATGGCCTATTTTTTAGTCGACTCAGAAAAAGAATCTTACAGACCTGTCAGAGGGGTACACAAGAGAAGCACTCACTGGTAGTATCAACAGAGCCTATTTTTGAGTCGACTCAGAAAGAGAATCTTACAGACCTGTCAGAGGGGTACACAAGAGAAGCACTCACTGGTAGTATCAACGGAGAATCTCTCAGCCACGTCTGGGTGTGATAAGTCAATTTTTTAGTCGACTCAAAAATCGAAGCACTCACTGGTAGTACCAATAGAGAATCTCTCGGCCACGTCCGGGAATCGAGAGACATCCAACCGGCCAGAGTGGACAGGCGTACGCAAGGGGCCGCAAGGCAAGAGTATACAAGCGAAGCACATAAGTGAAGCACATAAGTGAAGCACATAAGTGAGAGCACTCACTGGTAGTATCAATGGAGAATCTCTCAGCCACGTCAGGGAATCGAGAGACATCCAACCGGCCAAAGTGAATCTGGGGGCCTTGGCCGTACCTTGGATAAATAGGGAAGGAAGGGCAAAGGAAGACACAGTATTATTGTCATTAGTTGGCACTACATTGTGTTACATGCATACAACATACTCAGTGCCTGGAAGGCTTTGGAATACAACATGTTGGTAAGCTTGCATAGAACACAAAATTGAGTACAGTGGGCTGTAGCAAGATAATTGGCTGCCGTGCCGAAGATTGAAAACTGGGGTAGGGCGGTCAGTGGTGACAAAGAAGGAAACAGTTGGAGACTAGTGGTCTATCCGACTCAAGGGAATGCAAGGGAAACTTTTGAGTCGACTCAAGGGAATGCAAGGGAAACTTACTCGTGGGCGTGGGTGGGAGAAGTTGATGGTGTAAGGAGGCTTACTGGTTGGCAATGTCAACAAAGAGAGACATGTGCTGATGGCACGGGGGGGACCAGCTGGCATAGAACATGACTTTTAAGACGCCTCAAAAGGCGGGTGAGGGGGCGAGCGGGTGAGGGGCCTTACTGGTTGGCAATGTCAACAAAGAGAGACATGTGCTGGTGGCACGGGGGAGACCAACTCGCATAGAACATGACTTTTGAGGCGCCTCAAAAGGCGGGTGAGGGGGCTTACTGGTTGGCAACGTCAACGAAGAGAGACATGTGCTGATGGCACGGCGGAGACCAACTCGCATAGAACATGACCCTCATAAGGCGGGTGAGGGGGCTTACTGGTTGGCAACGTCAACGAAGAGAGACATGTGCTGATGGCACGGCGGAGACCAACTCGCATAGAACATGACTTTTGAGGCGCCTCATAAGGCGGGTGTGGGGACTTACTGGTTGGCAATGTCAATGAAAAGAGACATGTGCTGATGGCACGGGGGTGACCAGCTGGCATAGAACATGACTAGGCATGGCACGTTGGATGCTGACGTGGCAGTTTCCACTGGCGCTACCAGCTCCAGCTGGCGAGGGATCATCTCAAGAAAGGCGTCGGATGCTGACGTGGCAAAAAGAAAGAGGAGGGCGGAGGGGATTGGGCGAGTGAATGAGAGAGTGTGTGTGTCCGCGTGTGTGCGACTGCGTGGCCGTGTGCGTACACGTGTGTGTGGTGGGAGAGAGTGGGTGGAGGAGGGAGGGAAGGTTAGAGTGTCTGTGTGTGCGTGTGTGCGCGCGCGTGTGTGCGAGTGTGCGTTAGTGCGCGAGCGCGAGCACGAGCGCGAGCGCATGGGCGCGCGCGTGGGCGTGGGCGTGGGCGGGAGCGTGCGAGCGAGTGAGCGAGCGAGCAAGCGTGCGTGCGTGCGTGCGTGCGTGCGTGCGTGCATGCGTGCGTGCGTGCGTGCGTGCGAACGAGCGAGCGAGCGTGCGTGCGTGCGTGCATGCATGCGTGCGTGCGTGTGTGTGTGTGTGTGTGTGTGCATGAGCGTGTGTGTGTGCGCGTGTTTGCGTGTGTGTGTGCATGCAGTGCGTGTGTGTCAACTAACCTGATGGGGTTGCTGGTGAGCGTTGGGGGCAAAGAAGAAAAATCACTGCACTCACAGGTGATTGCAAAAGGGGGGCAGGTGGAGGAAAGGTGAGAATAAGAGTGCTGCAAAGTGAGCAAGTGAGTGAGGGGGAGGTGGCAGAGAAACGAAGGAAAGTGAGAAAGGAAGGTGGGAAAGAGAGAGTGGCGAAAATATAAAGCCAGGAGCATACCCCACAGTGGAAGCGAGAGGAGAGAGACAGAGGTACAATGCTTACACTCACTCACACATGAAAAGACAAGAGGCCAACAAATTATCATGCTCCCAAGGTGATCGATTATTGAGTCCACTCTGAAGTCATTCTTTATTTGCACACACACTCACGCATGAACGCAAGGAGGTACCAGGCACATATGCGGGGATCCACAGCCCACAGGAGAGCGACGAGAATCATCTGCAGCAATAGCAGCAGGCAATGGCAGGGAAGCAAATGTTTCCAAAATTTAGAGAAAAATAGCAAAACAAAGAAACAAACAAACAAAAACAAGAACACTAAAAAAGGGGGGGGGCGGGGGGAGGAGGGGGGGGGGGGGGGCGCGGGCGGGGAGAGGGGGTGGGGGGTTGGTTGGGGGGAAAGGGGGAGAGACAACTTGAATTAAGGAGGGCAACGAAGGGCGCACTTGCAGTTGCACTGAGCAGCGGGGAAGGAAGAGAAGGAGAGGAGGGAGAGGAGGGAATAACGTGCCTTGGTGTTGAACATGATGGATGAAAATGCTGCCTCAGCTGTGTTGGCTCGCCATAACTGCGTTCACACCACATGGCAAGTCATGCCATCCCATGCCATGCCATAACATGCCATGCCAAGCCAAGCCATGCCATGCGATGCCATGAAAAGCCATGCCATGTCACACAGAGTAAAGCATGCCAGAGCAAACAAGTGCATTCTTAGGCCTAGACGAGGTACTGCTGCTGCTGCTGATATGCCTTGCTTGAGGAACCCTTTGTTGCCGCTGCTGACAATGCACCCTCTATGATGCACTATAAAGGCCGAGGAGACAAATCAACATATAAAGCATCAGAGACGCAGTGCTGCTGCTTATAGGCGTTACAGGTGACAACACACCTTGTACGACGCGCTGAGGAGAAGGCCGAAGAGAACATGCCGCTCCTGCAATGGACCATGGGGGGGAAGTTACGGAAGGGAGACAAAAGTGAGAGGTTAGAGGTGGAAAGTGGGGGGAAACGGTGGAAAGAGGCGGATAGAGATGGAAAACGAGGCTGACAGTACCCACTGAGTCGCCGAACACTTTTATTTAAATATCCGAACTTACTCTTCTGCATAATACCAACAGATCACAAGTAAGAGATTCCTAACTTACCCATTTGTAGAGCACCGCAAGGTCTCTTGAGAACGAGCCTCCGGAGACCACAGCGATCCGCACCGGCAGAACGGAGAGAACGGTGAGGAGATTAACTACGTAGTACGGCGATAAGTACGTGCTCAGCCAGCTAGTAGGTCCCGAATTCGCCGCTCCTTCTGCCGGATTTTCCGGCCGCACATCCATGGACAGATATAAACGATAATATAATTCTGATCCTGTAAGATTGCCCACAGGGGGTTGAGAAAATATTCCGGTGAACCAGCACAAAGGTATTGCCGAATCAGAGCCAAGGATTGGGTGAATGTTACGCGAATCAACGGCTGGATATCCACGCGTCAAGGCAAGGACCACGCGTCAGGGTGAACGGTAACAACGCTGCGTTGCAAGCTGCTTGATCGTATTACCGTTACCACTCGTATCGCTGTGCTATTCTTCTGTGTCAGGCTGCGCTATAACGCGACGCGTAAGTCGACCGTTGTCGAGATGGTACGGTGTGGAACCAGGCGTTGTATCTGGGACGCAGGTGAAGAGATGAGGATTTATTGGCTTCAGGACACGATTAGAGTCGGTTTTGGAAGTGACGGAAACGAAAAGCGGCGGTACAGAACGGTGGTAAAATGTTCGGCCCTTCATTCACCATTCCGCCTAACCTGATCGGGCTGTCTACCCCAGATTGTGAATCTGAGTGCACTAAGGGCGCATGCGATGCCCGATACTGTTCGGTGCTGCAGACCAAACAAACTTCAAACAAGTCAAATTGTCTGAGTGGGATCCCTACATTGGCTTCCAGGAATTAGATTCTTTTGCACAAAGAGGCAACACCCAAACACTATGGCTATGAAGTGACTTGCTCAGCCAGTACTCCTTTAGAAGCTAGTATACTAAGAGTGAATGGATGCATTCAGCATCCTTTATGTACTGTACTACTCATGATTGTAGTGTGCCATGAGATTAACCTTGAATGGTGCACTTCCAAACCACCTCCAGTAAATGGACTGGTCCAGTGTGGTTTTAGGTGATAACGGTAGGTGCAGTACGGCCAGTATATTCCTCAATCTTGGATACCTTGATAGCCACATCAACCTGATGTGGAGTAGGGAGAATCAGGGTGGATAGAAGATAGGATGGATTACATACCGCAGAAGTTACCAGGGTGAACGAAGAAACAAACGCATGGATGAATGCTAGAAAACAGAAAGGCCAGGTTTCTAACTGTTTATATAAATGCACACACATCAGCCAAGTCACCCATATAGAACTCAGCCATATCACCCGACTTGGAACAAGCAAACAAAACAAACAAACGAATGAACTCACCAGGGGAGCAAGCACATCAGCCGGGTTGCCATCAATCTTGGAGCTATCTGCCACGTATTGCTCAATGTACACACGGATGGTCGCCCCCACTGACCCCGTGCCCGACAGGCGGAAGATCTGCGGGGCAGAGGAGGCAAGTATTCATGGTTGGGAAACAAGACAACACAGAAAGATAAATCTGGATCCAATCACCAGCCTCGGAGCTAATGGTTGCTCCCACTGGTCCCATACCCGACATGAGGAAGATCTGAAGGGAGTGGGGGGGGGAGGGGAGGGGGTATGGATCAAGGAAAAGAAAGAAAAAAACATATATAGAAAGCATGTAAATAAACACGTAGCTTTTGAGCACACTCATGTGGATTAAACGAAGGAACGAGGCGTTACCAGTCTGGAGCCATCAGCGAAGAAGAACCGGATCCCCTGGTGGCTTGACACGGAACCATCCACAGGGTCCTTGTACTCAAACTCGTCCCCCCTCACCACGTCCGCTGCTGTGCTGTTGGCTGCCTTCACAGCCCTGTCAACAAGGTTGAAAACCGGGGGGGCAGAAAGAATGGAGTGGTGAGACGAGTGCACAAGCAAATCAGAGCCATCCACAGGGTCCTTGTACTCAGACTCGTCTCCCCTCACCACGTCAGCTGCTGTGCTTTTGGCTACCCACAGCCCTTTCAACAAGGAGGGGTGAAAATGAGCGGGGTAGTGCAGCAGGAAACAGCGGAATAGAGTGAGATATGCACGGGAAACAGAACCAGAGGAGGTTCGTTTGCAGCCAGAACACACCAGAAAACGATAACGTACGAAAGCACGTGCTAGTAATCATGCGTGTCTTTGATTACAGGGCCTCGTAATCATGTTTTTTGAGAATTCTCAAAAATCATGCGTGTCTTTGATTACAGGGCCTCGTAATCATGGGTTAAGCTGATATGAGCTCAAGAGTTGAGAACGCACGTGTTGAGTGCAGCGATGTCTGCTTGGCTGGCGACAAGATTAGCCATGAGCTTCTTTGCACCCTCTGCATCCACTCCCTGCCATCATGACATGGCATTGGGGGGATAAGATGGAGTCATGATAAGTGATCATAACGGGAGTCTGCATAACAAGAGTGTGGGTGAGATGGGGTTGACAGATGAAGGAAGGGAAATAGACACGGGGTAGGTGCACCTATCAGCCAGGCACGCGAGAACAGACATGTGAGTAGCTTCGCTGGGGAGATATGATTGTGCTTCGCTGGGGAGATATGATTGTGCTTCGCTGGGGGAGAAGCACGATCGGAGTTATGAGACAACTTTCTCCAGTGCTGCCTTACAGTCTCTTCCACGGTCACAGACTGTCCTTGTCAGGCAGCGATTTACAGGTCAAGGGTTTCGGTTCCACAGCATCACATGCAGTTGAAGATCAAGGAGCAGGGCTCCAACACAGAGTCTATACCTCATAGTCGTATCGGGGTGAGTTTTGAGTTGACTCAAAAGTCATATCATCGCATGCAGTCGAAGGTCAGGGAGCAGGGCTCCAACACAGGATCTATACCTCGTAGTCGTATCGGGTGTAGAAGTGCCGGCCGTATTTGGCCCAGTGCTGCCGCACTATCTCCTCCACTGTCACCAGCTGCCCCTCACTGCTGCTGCTGTTCCGGTGGGCCAGGATGGAGAGCCATGCGAGAATAGCCCACATGCCGTCCTTCTCCCTGATGTGGTCCGACCCTGGGAGTGCAGAACAGAGCAAAGCACAGCACAGGCGGGGTAAAAGAGACGAATAAACACCAGCTGCCCCTCACTGCTGCTGCTGTTCCGGTGGGCCAGGATGGATAGCTATGCGAGAATAGCCCACATGCCGTCCTTTCCCCTGATGTGGTCCGACCCTGAGAATGCAGTTAAAAGAGTGCAGAACAAAGCAAAGAAAAGCACAGCAGTGAGAGGGAAAGAAGAAACGAACCAATTCCAGCTGCCCTTCAATGTTGCTGCTGCTGCTCCAACTCCAGGGACAAACCGCACGAGTCCCGAACCTCACCAGTGCCAAGCCTCACACATTCCGAATCGAGCCTCACCTGTGCCGAAGCTCTCTTCACCACAGACAGAGCACATGCCCGCATCCATGAGGTTGCCGAAGAACTTCCACCCCGTCGGCACCTGCAATCACCAGAAGCAAACAGGGCAGGTTCACAAGATGGCCCTTGAAAGAAATTCAGTCCCAGCTTTTTGAGGCGCAAGAGGCGACTTCAGAAAGATGGAGTGACGTGCAGAGTGGAGTGCAGAGGAAAGGAGTGTAATGGAGAGGGGTGCAGAGGAGAGGAGTGCAATGGAGAGGGGTGCAGAGGAGAGGAGTGCAATGGAGAGGGGTGCAGAGGAGAGGAGTGCAATGGAGAGGGGTGCAGAGAAGAGCACGTTTTTACCTCTAAAAACCCACCTCAAAGAACTTGAGTCCGAGTTCCTTGGCGACAACATCCAGAGCAGCGGACGTGGGCATGCTCCTGGCCACGCCCTTGAGCCCGCCCTTGAAGTAGGGGATGCTGGCCTCCTGGCTACTGCGGTGGAGAGGAGTGCAGAGGGATTCCTACCTCAAAGAACTTGAGACCGAGTTCCTTGGCGACGACATCAAGCGCAGCGGACGTGGGCATGCTCCTGGCCACGCCCTTGAGCCCGCCCTTAAAGTAGGGGATGCTGGCCTCCGCGTTGGCTGCTATGATAGCCACTGAGTCAGACGGCGTCACAAAGAACCTGTTGTGCCGGGAAGGAACAAGGGGGAAAAGGATAGAGATAGAGATCGAAGGACAACACTGAGATGTCTACCAGGCAATGGATCAGCATGAGTCCATTCGCCCTTCAAGTACAGAATGCTGGCCTCCGCGTTGCCTACTGTTATGATGGCCACCGAGTCAGAGGGCGCCACAAAGAACCTGCTGAAGGTGAACCAGGGAGGCATGGAGGATGAAATAGACATGGACGGTTGGTACTGAGATGTTTCTCAGGCAATGGACCAGTTTTAGGCTTATCCGTCCTTGAAGTACGGGATGCAGGCCACAGCATTGGCTGCTGGGATAGCCATGCTGCAACCAGTATTGTTGTCGCAGGCGACCTGGAATTCAGGCCATCATGTTGATGTGACAACACTCAAACCTTCATTCGAAGCGTCCCCAGATCACCCACCGCACCGCATGCATACACTTCCCCGGAACCACCACCTCGTTCTCACCTCTTGCCTAGAACCATGTTGCGATCAGCGTCGCCGTCACAGGCAGCACCGAACTCAGGCGGCTCCTGGGCAGGCTGGTGCTTGCCCAGCCCCATGGCCTCCACCAGGTCATGCGCGTAGGTCAGGTTGGGGTCGGGGTGCCCGCCACCGAAGTCCTCCTGAAGGAACGGAAGCAGGGACGAAAACAGAGGAATGGGAGGGGAGTGTCGGGGAACATATGTGCTTGCCTAGCCCCATTGCTTCCACCAGGTCATGCCCGTTGGTGAGATTGGAGTCGGGGTGACCGCCACCAAAGTCCTCCTGAAGACACGGAAGCAGAGATGAAAACAGAGGAATAGGAGGGGGATGTGGGGTATGTGCTTGCCTAGCCCCATTGCCTCCACCAGGTCATGCACGTAGGTCAGGTTGGGGTCGGGGTGCCCGACACCAAAGTCCTCCTGAAGACACGGAAGCAGAGATGAAAACAGAGGAATAGGAGGGGGATGTGGGGTATGTGCTTGCCTAGCCCCATTGCCTCCACCAGGTCATGCACGTAGGTCAGGTTGGGGTCGGGGTGCCCGCCACCAAAGTCCTCCTGAAGACACGGAAGCAGAGATGAAAACAGAGGAATAGGAGGGGGATGTGGGGTATGTGCTTGCCTAGCCCCATTGCCTCCACCAGGTCATGCGCGTAGGTCAGGTTGGGGTCGGGGTGACCGCCTCCAAAGTCCTCCTCAAGACACGGAAGCAGAGGTGGAGGAGAGGGAGAGATTGTCACGCAGAGGGTGAGAGTGTGGAGCGGAGGGGGAGGGAGAGTGGAGCGGAGGGGGAGGGAGAGTGGAGCGGAGGGGGAGGGAGAGTGGAGCGGAGGGGGAGGGAGAGTGGAGCGGAGGGGGAGGGAGAGTGGAGCGGAGGGGGAGGGAGAGTGGAGCGGAGGGGGAGGGAGAGTGGAGCGGAGGGGGAGGGAGAGTGGAGCGGAGGGGGAGGGAGAGTGGAGCGGAGGGGGAGGGAGAGTGGAGCGGAGGGGGAGGGAGAGTGGAGCGGAGGGGGAGGGAGAGTGGAGCGGAGGGGGAGGGAGAGTGGAGCGGAGGGGGAGGGAGAGTGGAGCGGAGGGGGAGGGGGAGGGAGAGTGGAGCGGAGGGGGAGGGAGAGTGGAGCGGAGGGGGAGGGAGAGTGGAGCGGAGGGGGAGGGAGAGTGGAGCGGAGGGGGAGGGAGAGTGGAGCGGAGGGGGAGGGAGAGTGGAGCGGAGGGGGAGGGAGAGTGGAGCGGAGGGGGAGGGAGAGTGGAGCGGAGGGGGAGGGAGAGTGGAGCGGAGGGGGAGGGAGAGTGGAGCGGAGGGGGAGGGAGAGTGGAGCGGAGGGGTAGGGAGAGTGGAGCGGAGAGGGAGGGAGAGTGGAGCGGAGGGGGAGGGAGAGTGGAGCGGAGGGGGAGGGAGAGTGGAGCGGAGGGGGAGGGAGAGTGGAGCGGAGGGGAGGGAGAGTGGAAAGGAGGGGGAGGGAGAGTGGAGCGGAGGGGGAGGGAGAGTGGAGCGGAGGGGAGGGAGAGTGGAGCGGAGGGGGAGGGAGAGTGGAGCGGAGGGGGAGGGAGAGTGGAGCGGAGGGGTAGGGAGAGTGGAGCGGAGAGGGAGGGAGAGTGGAGCGGAGGGGAGGGAGAGTGGAGCGGAGGGGGAGGGAGAGTGGAGCGGAGGGGAGGGAGAGTGGAGCGGAGGGGGAGGGAGAGTGGAGCGGAGGGGGAGGGAGAGTGGAGCGGAGGGGGAGGGAGAGTGGAGCGGAGGGGTAGCGGAGAGCTGGAGCGGAGAGGGAGGGAGAGTGGAGCGGAGGGGGAGGGAGAGTGGAGCGGTAGGGGGGAGGGAGAGTGGAGCGGAGGGGGAGGGAGAGTGGAGCGGAGGGGAGGGAGAGTGGAGCGGAGGGGGAGGGAGAGTGGAGCGGAGGG